CGGTGGGGCCGCGGGAGCAGCGGGCGCCACGAGCCGCCCGCACGCAGCGGGACGCGGGCGGCTGCGGGAGATGGCGGCGGACTACAGCTCCCATGGTGCCGCGCGGCGCGCAGCGAGCTGTAGGCGCCCAGCGGCGCCGCCAGGAGCGAGTCAAAAGCCGCGGCTAAAAACACCCGCGCGCGGCTAAAAACACCCGACTCCCCGGTAAAAATGAAAACGGGGAGGAGGGGGACAAAATTCTCCGCCGATGTTTCCGCCCGGTTTCGAACCGGGGACCTTTCGCGTGTTAGGCGAACGTGATAACCACTACACTACGGAAACGCCGCTGCTAGTGAATGCGGAGCTCGGCGCTGCTGAGGGACTCGGGGACGGCCGTTACCTGCCGCGCTTCCATAACGGCCTCCACACGCACGTGTCACCCGGACACGCGGCTAACCGCCATCCACCGGGAAAGGGGAAGGCTGCGGGGAGGCTGCTCCAGCCAAGCTGCACGGTCTGGATAGAGAGAAGAACTGCGCCCATCTGAAATTACACTGGGAACCTAAGYGTGTGCAGAACAAGTGCTTGAACGCTGCGGTTAGCTTTGCTGTTTCTACCAGAAATGTCTCAAAGTTTCTARGGACTTTCTGTGTCTATAACCAGGGGTCTAGGCACTGTTTCAGGTAAAAGCTGCAGCTTCCTGTGCCCCTAAATACGTGTCTCCAAGATRATCATGTCTTCTGTAGGGAGCCAGGCGATATATTTCCTATTTTCTCTTACAAAACAAGGGCAGATCCAATATACTGCCCGGTGGGAGTTTTCATTTACATCCACAAAAGACTTTTCTGAGTTGTGCTGCAAAGCCTCATTCCTTGCTATGAGAGAGTTCCAGCACCAAGAGTAATCCCACAGGTATGAAAGAGTAGCTTAAAAATCTGCAACTTCCCCAAAAGCACTAATTACTTTTGCAGCACACCCATAACTAAAAAGCTGCACTTTCAATGAACACACAAGATGGGTGCTCTTGTAAAGTCCCCAGGCAGGAAGCCCATGAAAACTTGGGCCTGACTTTGTGGTTCGAACCATTTGGGGCACGGAGTCCGCGCCCGGCCTTAGTGCCCCTCCGAACTGCGGCTGACGCAGCCAGGGATGCGTGAGCAGGAGCGGGCGCCGGTGCCGTAGCGACTGTCCCCACTCCAGGAGGGCCCTGTCACAAAGGGGAGGAGGACACGCGCTGCTCCCCAGGGACCGAGCAGGGATCGGCGAGCGGGAGCTGGTGCTCGCGATGCCCAACCTGCCTCCCGCCGTCGTCGTGGACAACGGCTCGGCCCTCATCAAGGCTGGCATCGCGGGGGAGAAGAAGCCGTGGATCATCTACGCCAACGTGGTTGGCCGTCTGCAGGACMAGGGGGCGGCAGGACAGAAGCATTGCTATGTTGGGAGTGAGGCGCAGGCCCGCAGAGGGGTCCTTTCCATCAGGTGGGAGCTGCAAAGCCCATGGGGATGGGCTGTGGGCATGAAGGGAGCATCGTGCTGGAAGGGGTTAGAGGAGGAAACTTAACTCCRCCATCCTTTGCAAAGGCAAACGCGAACCAAGCCCTAGCCGGTGGGAACGCTTCCCCAGCACTTCCTCAGAGCACYGTGCATGATATAAAGGTTCACAAARTGCTTTCTTATGGTGCCTTTTCCTCTTGTTCTTCACATAGGACATTCCCCTAGCAGAGAGCTATGCGCATGGGAGACACTAGTGCCCCTGCAGAGGTTCCCATAAAAAAACACTGCCTTCTTTTTTCCCCTCGACTCCTGCAGGTATCCAGTAGAGCGGGGCATCATCACGTCCTGGGAAGATATGGAGGCCGTGTGGGAGAGCATCTACAGCCAGGGCCTGCAGATGCGAACCCGCGAGCAGCCCGTGCTGCTGACCGAGGCGCCGCTCAACCCCTTGGCCAACCGAGAGAGGATGACCGAGCTCTTCTTCGAGCGCTTCGACGTACCGGCTCTCTACGTGTCTATCCAGGCCGTGCTGGCGCTCTACGCCTCRGGGCTCACCACAGGCTGCGTGGTGGACACCGGTGCTGGTGTCACGCACAGCGTGCCCATCTTTGAGGGCTACTGCTTGCCCCACGGTGTCCTCCGGCTCGAGCTGGCCGGCCGCGACCTCACAGACTACCTAGTGCGGCTCCTGATGGACCGCAGCACTGCACTCATCGCCCCGGCCGAGGAGCAGATCGTCCAAAACATGAAGGAAAAGTTATGCTATGTGTGCCTGAGCATGGAGGAGGAGATGGCCAAGAAGCCTGGCGAAGTGGAAAAAACCTTCCACCTTCCCGACGGCAACGAAGTTAAGGTTCACCATGAAAGGTTTCGTTGTCCGGAAGCCCTCTTTAACCCTCCTAGTGTTGGCGTGGAGGCACCAGGGATTGACAGGCTCTGCTTCAACTCCATCACAAACTGTGACGTGGGCCTGAGGACTTACTTCTACTCCAATATCCTCCTGGCTGGTGGCTCCAGCCTGTTCCCTGGAATTGCTGAACGTCTGAACAAGGAGATGGTTCCCATGGTTCCAGACAACATGAGGGTGAGAGTCCATGCTCCTCCGGAGAGGCATTTTTCAGTGTGGATGGGAGGCTCCATCCTCGCCTCCCTGAGTGCCTTCCAACATATCTGGATCACTGTGGCCGAGTACAGAGAGGCTGGGCCTAACATGGTGCACAGAAAGTGTTTCTGAAGTGATTTTGGATAGATTTTACTTGGAAACACAACAGAAAACAACCTCAGATTACTGCTACCCAGATATTAGCATGGACATTAGCACGTGTCCTGCTTTTGAAAGTCCAGTAAAGATCATGACTTTGGGCACAATCCCCTCTTGCTCTGAGAGCACACCTTCTTGAATAAGACACAAAACATCAGGTCACCATTCGGTTCTTTACCTGGAGCAAAACTGAGCACTTTGCCCTGGTGCCTTAGGTGGCTGCAGTCGGGCTTACCTGGGCGAGCAGAAGCAGGGCAAACCAGAGCACCCACAAAAGGGGCGCTCCGGCGCTCCCGCTTTCCCGCGGAGCCCTCGGCCTGGAGCAGCAGGGCCGGAAGCGCCACCCAGGGGCGCGGCCGGCGGCRGCGCCGCGCGCTCCGCAGCACGCGCTGCCCGGCGGGAGGGGGCGGAACTCCCGCGCTTTCCAATCTCCCGCCACTCTCCTCGGCCCGCCCCCTCGGCGGCCGCCAGCCAATAGCAGCGGAGGCGGGCTTGGGCGGGCCAATGGGCGCGCGGCGGGCGCGGCCCCGGCGCTACTTAAGGCGCGGCGAGGACGGCCGCCCCACGTGGCGGGTGGGGAGGGCTCCGCTGTTTCTAACCCTAAATGGCTGTCGCGGCGCTCCCCGCGCTCGCCCGCTGTTTTACCCGCTGACTTTCAGCGGGCGAGGGGAGCGGCCCCCCGTGGCGGGGGGGCTGGGGGGTACAGGGAAGGGGTAATAAGGGAAAGGGGTGGGGGGGGCCGGCAATCAAAAAACGTCAGCGAGGGGTCTCTCTGCCGCCACGACCCGCCCTGGGGCCCCGCTCCCGCCGCAGCCAGGGAGGCTCCGGCCGCTGCGCCCGCGRGGGAGAGGCCGCGGTCGGCCGGCTCGCGCCACTGCCGCCGCGAAGAGCTCGTCTCTGTCAGCCTCGGCGGCGGCCGGGGGCGCCGGGGCGCCCAGCAGAGCAAAATGGGAGCGGCGCCGCCGGGGGCAACCGCCGCGGCCCCCAACGCCGTGGGGCGCGCGGCCGGCGCCGCTCCGACACGCGCGCGCCCTCCTCTCCCCGCGTCCCCCCGCGCGCGCCGCCCCAGGGGCCGTCGATACCCCCGCCCTCCCCCCGCGCGGCCGTTACRGCCGTTGGCCGCCCCCTCCCTGAGGCGGCGCGCGGAGCCCCCGCCGTGGGGAGAGCCGGAGCCCGCGAGCTGGGGGGCAGAGACCGCTTCTTTCGTACACGAGCGACCGCGCCGCGGCCCAGCAGGCCGTGCCCGAGCGTTGGGCGCTGGGGGCAACCCGAAAACATTGAGTTTTCCTCACGGAGCGCGGGGCGAAGCCCAGGAAAGGCGCGGGGCTGCCAGAGCGGGTGATGCCCCCGGCCCCGCCGTGGAGCCCGCCATGAGGGAGCGCTGAGGGGGAAAGGCTGGGCGAGATCCCCACCGGCGCCTCCCACAGAGCGCCCTGCTGCCTGGGCATGCGGGCAGGCCTCACCTGCTGGAAGGCGTCCCTTTCCCAGAGCCAATATCCCGCCTCTGAGGCCGGCCAGAGCACGGCCGCCCTCGGGCGTCACGCGCGGCCCGGACACGCCGCTCGCCGGCATCGCCCCCGCGGCCAGGAGACAGATCCGGCACCTTAGCAGCTGTGCGGGAATTTCTGGAGTGTTTGACCAGTGACATCTTGTGGCCACGCGCTTTTCTTTTTCCAAAGAGAATATTCTATATATTCATATATCCGAAAAGATGTATTAAGAACCCAAGAACTTAGTCTACTTCTTTGTCCATGGCAGCAAGGGAAAAGTTGTTCTGTGTGTTTTCCCTGCTAAATCGCTGCTGAAAACTAAATCCCTTTCAAATATCCTGCCATTGCCTGCCAGGCTCTACTACTCACTGAGACTGTCAGCCGCCAGTGCTAGATGTGGCATGAAGCAACACAGAGAGAAGCAGTGTCATTGGGTGAGAGGGGACTTGCACCAAAGCTGTGAAAATGCTTTATAGATGATCATGTTCCTGGCTGCCATTTGGACAGTCTGGAAATTAGGACTGCATGTCCACATTGAGTTATTATCAAACGTTGGGAACCTGAAAATTAACCCAAAAGTGAAGAGATGCTCTAACAAATTTTCACATCGGGAGCCCCGAGGGCTGTCCTGTTTGCACGAAGAGAGCAAAGCGCTTCAGCTGAAGGTGAGAAGCTGTTTCTTTAGCCTGAGCACGAGGAAGTTCTGCTAATGCAGGCCCTGAGCTGCGTGGTGCTCTCACCCCACGTGACAAGAGCCATTTGTGAACACCTGGGAGTCTTCCCAGTGCTCCTGAAGGGATAGCTGCAGGTAGAGCATTGCGACACCCGGCACGCGACGCTGAAGCAGCGCGTGTTCCAAGGATGGGTACATCCAGGAACCGCCGGGGGACTTGTCTTCCCTCTGCAGTTGCCATATTTGCAGTCCACGCTTCAAGCTGAGAGATTTTAGCCATGGTTTTGTCATGCGTGACAGTGTGCAGCTTGTGTACCCCCGCTAATGGCAACAAGAGCACACTTCCACTCTCCAAAGAGCTTGCTGCATGTGAAAACAGCGTATTCATCTTCAGGTGGTTTCATTAAGCTATCTCCATTCTGTTTTACCTTTTCTTGTACTGTTTTTAAGTCAGTTGTGGTGATCCAGGTTCCACATGATTCACCAGTAAACAGGCAAAACTCCATGGAAGATTTAAATCACTTCAAGAGAGGCTTGTCTACAAAGATGCACAAACTTAATTTAGTAATTTAGTATATAGATTGATATGAGCTTGTGTGTAAACAGCAAATACACTTTGCTATTTCTTGGAGTCACCAGCAGAAAAGCTGAATACTTTTTTTTAGTTGCTGCAAATTCTGCTAAGATATTTCAAGAAATGGTTTGTAAAGATGGCAGGGTGTGTAGGCTTTGTAGGAACACTGCGAGTAGGGTTAAGGTTGAGCTACAGTATTGAGTCCAACAAAACAGTTCAGGCTGACCTTGCTTATGAGACAACGAAAAGTGTCATAAGAAGAAATAATAATTATCAAAGAGTAAAGAAAGCTTCTATTCAAAGGTTCTCTAACCTCTCTAAGGTCTGGCAAACATTAATAGAACCTACACTAATTTTGTTTGTAGGTTACCCCAACAAGGGATACTTTCAAAATGTAGTTTGATGTCGAGTCTTAGGATACGCCCCAGCAAAAAGACAATGGAAGAAAAATACTTTTCTTTTTTTCCACTATATTATTTTCTTTATAAGTAGTTATGTAAGGACATATAATCAAATCTTTGTGAGTACTAAAATGTAGACTGAAGGTGATTGAACTGCATAGTGACTTGGTGCTTTTCTTGTCCAGGGCTCCATATTGAGCTCAGCACACCTGAGCTAGGAAGTTGTTTTATCCAAGGAAAACTTCTGAAAGATCAACCTAACRCAAAGCTCTTCCTGAAGTGGGAAGGCGGCGGCTCCTGGTCCTGGTTCCTGTGGTAAGTGGATTTTACCTGTTTGATGGGTGGGATCCTGCCTAGCAAGGTCTATTTTTAAGCAAGAGTTCTGTGTTATGTAGCCTCTGCTTGGAAATACGGAGGATGGATTTTGCCTTCTGCCTTTATAGCTGTGCCATAATAGCAACTTGGGCATGGTATTATTTCAAAGTGAAACTTTATTAGTTAACTGCCTCTGTTACTTCACGTACTCAACTCTAGATGCAGTCATTAAGCCTGAAGAGACTTGCAAATTATTTGCACAAAAAGAGCATTTGTGAAAGTCTAAATTCATATATAGTTAGTTTCCAGTTATTTCAGACTTTAAAATGATGATGGTTTAGAAGCAGAAGGGATGTTTTCGCCTTTTGTTCAGTTGAATGTTGTGATTTGAACATTGAAACATGGCAAGCTTCTTTCCTGTGTTTTGATGAAGTCTTTGTATTTGTGCTTTGAAAAAGGTCTGTTGGCTGTGCTTTTKGCTGTTGATCATATTTTTTTCCAACAGTAGATGGCAATATCCATTCATTTGTGAAACATAACAGCTAAATTCAATGTGTTTCAAARTCTAATGTGTAAGTAAAGTCATCATCAGTTTAAATAAAATTATTTGTAAAAATCTTGGTTTATTTAGAGTACCGGTAAGTTTTTATGAAATGGCTACTTCTGCAATTTAAATAATTTTTATAAAATCTACTTTTATGYGAAAATTTGAAGGATACTATTAAGCTTCACAGCAGGGAATTATGATTAATTACCATCATACATAAAATATAGAAAAATATTTTTTGATAAACATTCTGGTTTCACTTAAGTACCAGTGCTGCTAGTTGAGAACTTAATATTTGTTAATCTTAGTGTTGTCTTGTTTAAGCTTTGCCAAAATGGTTATAATTGCCATTTTATATTTTGCTAACAGAATAAAAAATATCTTTACATAGATGGAAGGTATTTTTTTTTCTGCCTATATACTTTAGGATTAACCCTAACTGATGCGTTTGAAAACTTGACCTCTCTGAAATGAGTGTTGGAATTCTGCGTTTGCAACTCTTCTTGAATTTTAGTTTTACTTCTAAAAATTGTTGTATAATTTGAATCTATGTGTGCAAATACTAGCCTTTCTGTTATAGAGCAATATATACTATTATCCTATATATGATGCGTATTATARCCTGGATCCTGCTCTCAATTTCCTATTTCCTTAAATAATTAAGTAGGTGAGTGAGGAATATAGGTAGTTTAAATAAGTAGTAGGTGAGTGAGTGCCTATAACAAAGTTAAAATCAAGTCACAAGGCTTTTGGGAATTTTACAGCTGCAATCCATAGTTCTCATTCATTACGACAGCATTCTGTTTGGCAATGATAACAAGTTTAGATGCTGGCATTCCCCTGTTTTAGAAAAGATAATGAGACTTTTGTATGTCGTGATGAAATATTGGCAGCTGTGATAGCCTTGTAGATAATATTTTGGTTTGACAATTAGTATTTTAATAAAGCTGTTTAGTTTTACTCTAATGGTATC